CTCGCGCTCCCGACGCCAGCCGCTGCCACCGGTGCCAGNGCCCACGCTCGTCCGGGCACGGCGGGCATGTTTGAGATCACCGAGAGCGCCCCGGCCTCGGAGCTGCCCGAGCCGCACAGCCCGCGCCGAAGCGTCGAAAAGGCGCCCTTTCGCGAGTCGTCCTTTACCGACCTCAGCGGCTGGACGACGGCGATGCCGACCTCGCCGGCCGCCGCCGCCGGCCGACGTCGCCCGGTGTCGAGCGCGCAAGAGGACGACGTCGACCTGTCGCTGCTGTCGAACCTCGCCGTCCTCTTGCGTGCCGCGGTCCCGCGAGGGACGCAGATCAAGGGCAGCATCGACTACCCGCACAGCTTCACGGGCAAGGACGTGGTGACGACGCTGCAGGACCTCGTCCCGCCGCAGATGGCCGCCACGGCCGCCGGAGAGCCGGACAAGCCGAGCGCGACGCAGCACCGCCGGATCGCGCTGCTCCTCGCCAAGTCGCTCAAGAGCCAGCTCTTTTTCCACGAGGTCGACTGGGGCGAAAACGAGCTGCGCGACGGCGTCGAGGAGGTCTACACCTTTCTCGAAGACAGCCTGGCCGGCCCCGCGGGCGGCGGCGCGGGCGGCGGCGCGGGCTTTGACGGCGACGAGCCGTGGTCTGCCGGGCTCGGCCCGCACAAGAAGCTCGACCTCTCGCTGGGCTTCCCGGACCTCGACGGCGGCCGCGACGAAAAGGGCGGCGGCGACATGGACAAGAAGAAGCGGCTCACCGCAACTTCGACGCGGCTCGGCCTCGAGGAGCTGCCGACGGGCGTCTTTGTCCCGCTGACGCGGTGCTACAGCGCGCTGTGCGGCAAGCCCGGCATCAGCCCGGCGTACGCCTGCTTTAGCCCGTCGTGCCCGAACGCCAGCGTCAGCCGGCTCAACCGCGTGTCGTCGACCAGCTCGTCGGCCGACGACGGCGGCAACCGGGGCGCCGGTGCCCAGCAGGGCGTCGACCAGACGCAGAAAAAGGCCTGGGCAGAGCTGGTGCCGCCGGACCTGCTCAAGAGCATCCCAGCGGCCGAGGTCGCCCGCCAGAACGCCATCCTCGAGACGATCCAAAAGGAGGAGGAGTTCCTATGCGACCTCGAGATCCTCGACAGTCTTTTCGTGAAGGGTTTGCAGAAGCCCAGCGCTGCGGGCGATCCACCGTGAGTCCGCGTGCCGGCCGAGCCCAGTCGCGCCGCGCCGCGCTGACCGACCGAGCTGACCGACCGAGCTGACCGCCCGAGCTGACCGCCGACTCGGCCCACCCCGCCACGCCTGTTTGCAGCCCGCTGCCCATCGGGCCCGAGCGGGACGCCTTTATCGCCGAGGTCTTTGGCAACCACCTCGAGCTGACGGCCCACATCCGCCAGCTCGTCGAGCGCCTGCACGTGCGGCAGCGCGAGGAGAACCCCATTGTGCAGACCATCGGCGACATTTTCCTCGGCGCCGCCCTCGATTGGGGCGACGCCTACGTCCAGTACCTCGTCCACTATCCCCTCGCCATCAGCCGCGTCAAGCGCGAGATGGCCATCAACCCGAGGTTCAAGGCGTTTGTCGAGGTGCGTCCGCGCGTGCCCGCGCATGTTTCGCCGGGCCGCACCTGGCCGGGCCGCACCTGGCCGAGCCGCACCTGGCCGAGCCGCACCTGGCCGAGCCGCCCCTGACCGAATCGCCCGTGACCTCCTCCTCCCGTCCTCCGCGCCCCCCACAGACCTGCCGACGCAACCCGATCGCCCACAAGCACCCACTCGAGAACTTTCTCTTCCGGCCACCGGCCCGGCTGCAGCGGTACCACCTGCACCTCGAGTCGATCCTCAAAAAGACCGAGGAGGGCAACGCGGACCGCGACAGCCTGCAGAACGCCATCGAGATCATCAACGACCAGTGCAAGACGGCGCAGGCGGGCGTCGAGGCGACCGAGGTCAAGGTCAAGATCCGCGAGTACGCCTACAACCTGGCCGCCAAGCGCAACAAGAGCGCCATTGTGAGTCGGTGCTGGTCGGGGGTGGCGGCCGATTCGAGGGGCACGTTGGCTGACCCAGCCCCTCTGCCTGACCCCACGCGCAGGACATGGACCTGCTCAACCCCGAGAGGCAGCTGATCCACCAGGGCAAGGTGCTGCGCAAGCCGGACGCCTTTGACTTTGACTGGACAGAACTGCTCGCGGTGCTGTTTGACAACTACTTTGTCGTCACCAAGCAGAAGCGCAAGGACGAAACCGAGGACGCCGCCGCCGCCTCGCGGTTCGTGCTGGCAAAGAGGGTGAGTGCCGGCGCAGTGGGGCGGGCCCAAACGATCCGGAGCCTGACCACCCGCTGACCACCCGCTGACCATCCGCTGACCACCCGCTGACCATCCGCTGACCACCCGCTGACCACCCGCTGACCATCCGCTCTGGCCCCCCGCGCAGCCGATCCCCGTCGAGATGCTGGAGCTGTCCGGCTTTGCGGACGCGTCGATCTCGCGCTCGATCGGGCTGAGCAACTTCCACATCAGCCGCGAGCGCGAGGCGGGCAACTTTTGGCCGTTTACCGTGTCGCACCTGGGCAGCAAGGTGGAGCCGCTAACGCTGTTTGCGCCGTCCAAGGAGGCGCGGCAGGAGTGGAAGGCGAAGCTCGACGAGGCCATCGGGCTGCGCGCGGCCATCCAGGAGGCCAACAAGGTGTTTGAACCGTTCACGCTGAGCGACGACGTCTTTGCGCTGCCGGCCATGTCGAGCATCGAGCCGGACCGCCCCGTGGCCGGCGCCGACCCGGGCGCGTTCCACGGGCGCGTGACGTGCGCCGTGCCGTTCACGACGCACGACGGCCGCCGGCTCGTGGCCGTGGGCTGCGCCGACGGCGTGTGGATCGGGGCTGCGCAACGACGCGCGCTCGCTGCGCAAGGTGCTCCACCTCAAGCTCGTTACCCAGTGCGCCGTGCTCGAGACGTTTGGCATCTTTGTCGTGCTCGCCGACAAGGTCCTCATCTCGTACAGCCTCGAGGCGCTCGTCCCCAGCGCCACGAGCAACACGGCCGGCCTCCGCCCGCCGCAGAAGCTCAGCGGCAACCGCGACGTCCTCTTTTTCAACATCGGCGTGCTCAAGGACCGCACCCTCCTCGTCTACATGAAGAAAAAGGCCAACGAGAGCGTCTTTCGCGCCCTCGAGCCCGTCCTCAACGCCCCGCGCGCAAACGAGGGCAAGGGCCCCGGCGGCTTCTTTGGCAAGTTTGGCAAGGACTCGAAGAGCTCGGACTGGTTCCGCATCTACAAGGTGCGTCCCCGGCGCGGCGGGCCCCTGGCTCCGGGCGCTGCGACCTCCCGCTGCTTCCCTATTCCGGCCCCACCCGCTGACCCCGCGCCACTCGCCGTTCTTTTCCGGCCACACGCAGACCTTCTTCATCCCCTCGGAGGCGTACTCGATGCAGTTCCTGCGCTCGAAGCTGTGCATCGTGTGCGCGCGCGGCTTCGAAATCATGAACCTCGACAGCCTGCTGCCCGGCACCATCCCCGACTTTGCCCACGCGCCGCGCGACGACCCGCGCGTGCTGAACCTCCAGAAGCGCGTCGAGACGGCGCGCCCGCTGGGCATGTTCAAGACGCTCGACGGCCACTTTTTGCTGTGCTACGACGCGTTTGCCTGCTACGTCGACCGCCTCGGCGAGCCCGTCAAGCTCGACCAGATCATCGAGTGGGAGGGCTACCCCAAGGACGTCGCCTTTGCCGGCCGCTACGTCCTCGCATTCGACAGCCGCTTCATCGAGGTCCGCGACACCCAGTCCGGACAGCTCGTCCAGGTCATCCGCGGAAACGACATCCGCCACGTATCGGGCTGCGGCACCGTCGCCGCCGCCGCCCCACGCGACCCCACCCCGCTCGCCACCGCCCTCGACGCAGACGCCAACCCCGTCATCTTTGTCAAGCGCCAGCGCGCCCACGGCCGCGTCGCTTTCGACTTCCAGGCCGTCTACGAACTCGCACCCACCGGCCCACCCATCGCACTCACAAACAACCCCGCCTTTGCACGCTCAAACACCGTCCTCTCCGCAAGCTCCAGAACCAGCAGCAACAACCCCACCTCCTCCGCAGGCTGGATATGAGCCAAGCGCGCCCCCCGCTTCGCACCCATCGAATCCCATCCTTTTTTTGTACTCTACGCAGCGAGCCGAACGATCCCTTCGAAATTTGCGAGAAGCTGGCTGGGCGTGCTGCGCGGTGGCGGAGCCCCCCAAGTGAGTCGGATCGAAGTGCGGCTGTGTGGGCAGGCTGGCTGCGCGGAGGTACCCACGGTACCGGTCGCAGGGGAAGAGAGGCGACGGTCTCGGATGTAGATGCCTGCAGAGACGCGGAGCGGTGATCCGGCGGCGAGATGGATGTGCAGCGATGAGGGGGTCTGCTCTCGTCGCAATCGTCGCTGAGCCGGGCGCTTTATGAGATGCGAGGGTGTGGCCGTGGCTGGAGCTGGAAGAGCTTGCTACCCGAGACGGAAGATGGCCGCTGATTGCACCGCGAGCGGCCACGTTCGGTTGAGGAAATCAGATCCATGGTGAGAAGAAGGTTGTGCGACCGGGATGCCAAGAGCAGCCCACGAGCGCAACGGCTGCAGGTCTACACCGCACCATAGCGACGACACGACATCGCGCGGCCTCGGCAGGTCCTTGCATCACCTCGACCCTGGTAGCCGCGTGCCTCTGCTCTCGAGATAGGCACCCGGGGGAGGGAGGTGGATGATCAGTTGCGCCCAATATCGGAGGGAAGTCAAGACCAGAGATTCGGTGTGGGACAGTCGAGGTGGGGGCCGATCCGGCGCATGAGCAGCGGTGGGGACTTCGGCGGGGACATCGGTGGGGCAGGTGGCACGAGCGACGCGCCCCCACCGCTCCACCAAAAAAAAAAAATTAAAAAGGACGTACAGTTCGTCGCCACGCTCCGTGACTCCGCGGAGAGATCATATATGCTCTTTTTGGGCACTTTTTCAGTCGACTTAGCCAAGTGGTTCAAGGCGTTGGTCTTGAAAATCGGGCCGCCCGATTCATTAACCAATGGGCTCCGCCCGCGTAGGTTCGAATCCTGCAGTCGACGGTCCTGCTTTTGCAGCGTTTTGAAGAAGGGTTATGGCACGTCGAGGAGGTGAGGATCGCGTTTTTTTTTCTTTTCGAGGCGGCAAGGGTTTGTACGCGGGGTGCGAAGGCCTGGCGGCGGGGAAAATCAAATTTCCGGCTCGCGTGGTGTGGGGCGGTACCACCGTAGCTGCGGGGGCGCGTCGCCTTCATGCGACGTCCCCACCGGCCGCCCGGCGACCCACCTCCCCGCAGACCCACCAAGCGACGCACAGGCCCACGAATGCACAGGCCGCCCGAGTTCAACGCTGCCCAAGCGATTGGCGGCCCGTTCGCGACTGGGCGGCCCCGCTGGACGGGTGTGCAGAGGCCAACGGCAGGCAAATGAGGTCGGCGTCCAACACTCGTCGTAGCAGCTCGCCGAGGCAGCACAAGTGTTTCCGAGCGGCAGGCACTTTCGCTGCACCCGCAGACGCTTGCGACAGCGGGCATACGGCTTGCACTTCGACACCAGGCAGGCCTAGCTAATGTCGATGCTGGCGCGCCCTCATCGTTGTTGGTATGCCGCAAGGAGAGTCGCTTGAGCTCACGGAGACCATGTACGCTTCCGCAAAGCAGGATGGAGTGCGTGCGCATTCGTGACACTTGTTGCGGCCAGTCGTCTGACCGCATCTCGAGACTTCGCTCTCGGGAGCGCAGCTGACTGTGAGCGCTTCCCGGCTTCGGTATCGGACCGTTCCAGACAAGATGGCGTGCCCAGGAGCCGTGTGAGTGCCTTGTCCAGGCTGCAGTCACACAGCGCTAAAGCCCGTGCAGGCAGCCAAAGGAAGCGGGCCCGTCAGCAGCGCGGGCAACGTGTTCTTCTCTGCCGTGATGCGGGCAATTTCCCCTGTCCCCCTCTCCCCTTTTTCCTGCTGTGCAAGAATGAAGACGCTCTTAGGAGGCTACATGATCTGTTGCAGATACTTTCAGCAATGAAACAGCCTTTATGGACTGATGAGGCACGCTGATGCACTGTCTCACACAGGTCATGAAGGCTGACATTGAGCCCAAAGGGCTGTGGCAAGCAGACGGCTGTCATCAAGGTCAGCTTCCTCATTGACAACAACAGGTTCACCAAGGGCTGAGCCCTTTGCCTGCTCAGCACATTGCACAAGACTGGCTCTGAAGAAGACAACAAGGAGTTCAGGGTGCAGTGTGGCTCTCTGATGCTGACAGCACCAAGAGTGGCCCAGGTGCAAGGTACATGAGTCAAGCACTGCTCTTCTAGCTACACCACCTGCCAAGATGATGCTGCAGCTCTTTGGCAGTTCTGCAGCAAGGACAGAGTGGCATGTTCATGTGCTTGTTGACAGCTGCAGTCATGCAGGCCTATTGCTGCTAGGACTGATGGGCAGATGATGCCATCTCAAGGTGCAGCAGAAACCTGTGTACATTGCTGCTTCAGCATTGCAGCTGGATCTGGCCAGTCCTGAAGGCAAACTTGCCATTGAGCGCAAAGGCATGGCCCTTGCTCAAGACAATCTCCTCGCTTTTGCTGTGGATGTTTCTGCAGCCTGCAGTCATCCTCTTGGCGATGGTGTGCTGCTTGGCGCCGCAGGTGAGGTCAATGCCAGAAGCACAGTGAAACGTCTCGAGTTCCTCTTTGACAACTTGGCTGTTGTGGCCGGTGTTGTAGAGGATCAGGAGCTTGGACGAGGAGTGCTGGGCGATGACAGAGATGTGGACCGGCCTGCAGGTGCCTGCACTGAAGATGACACTGATGCTCTTCTGCTGCAGACTCTTGACAAGCGGCTGGATTGCCAGCCAGCGGAGTTGCTCGCGGAGCGCATTGTTGACGAGGCTGCGCGAGCGCTCAAAGACCTTGGTACGGTCATGGTCGATGCTGACCTGGACAGGGCCCCGCGTCAGGCTCTTGATCAGGCGCGTAACCTGTCTGCGGGCTCTTCAGATGCCACACCCCGCATCCTGTAGCCCTCTGACAAACTGCCTGGTGCAGCACAGGCAGATGGTGGCTTGCAGATGCAGCCTTGCAGTGAGAGCCAGTCAGATGGTGCAGACTGTTGATCAGTCAGTCAGTCAGACTTAGTCAGAGTGCACAAGGAGCAGCACAGATGAGGGGAAAGCAGTTGAGTGCAGCAGGTGATGTTGCAGCAGGTGATGATGCTGCAAGTGATGTTGCAGCAGGGGTGATGTAGCTGGCAGGTTGCAGCAGCAGCAGCAGCAGCAGCAGCAGCAGCAGCAGCAGCAGCAGCACGAAGCCCTCAGGGCAGCCGGCCAGGTGTGGAGGCGGGCTGGCCAGAAGCAGAGGGGAGCGTGTGTGATTTTTGGAAAGGGGCCCTGGCCTGGCTGGCTGGCTGCGCACTCGAGCTCAAATGGCCCCTGTCGGCTGCATCGCACCTTTCCTCCCGACCGCCACCATCCCCGTCACCCCAGGGAAACCCCGTCGCTGACCGGCCCCTTCCTCAGCTTCGCCTCGTGCCCACTCTCCCTCCGCCGTCCGCCTCGCATCCATCGCCTGCTCGCCTGTCTGTCCTCGCTCACAGACCGACGCCACCGACCGCCCAGCATGTCGTCGCAGCCGGCAAGGCGCCCCAAGGTCACCGTCAAGCTGAAGCCGCGCGGAGCTGCGGGCGCCGCGGCCAGCACCGCAGCCGCTTCCGCTTCCGCTGCCCACGACTCCATGTCCGGTCGCAACGGAGGCGGCGCGGGTGACGACGACGACGACGACGACGACGACGACGACGACGACGGCGATGACGACTCGGGCGACGACTACACCGGCACCTCTTCTAGCCGCTCGAGGATGGCAAAGGGTAAGGGCAAGGGCAAGACGGCGGTGTCCAACCCGGCCACGGCACCGGGCGGCGGGGGCAGCGACGACGACGGCGAGGGCGAACTGCGCTTCCACAGCCGCGACTTTACCAAGATGCCGCTGAAGCTAGACCACGCCAGCCGCCCGCTGTGGATCTCGCCGGACGACGGGCACATCATCCTCGAGGGGTTCAGCCCGCTCGCCGAGCAGGCGCAGGACTTCCTCATCGCCATCTCGGAGCCCGTCAGCCGACCTGCGCACATCCACGAGTACAAGCTGACGCCGTACTCGCTGTATGCGGCCGTCTCGGTGGGCCTGCAGCCCAACGACATCATCGAGGTGCTCAACCGCCTGAGCAAGGTGCCCGTGCCCGAGTCGGTGCTCGACTTCATCCGCGAGTACACGGCGAGCTTCGGCAAGATCAAGCTGGTGCTCAAGCAGAACCGCTACTTTGTCGAGAGCGCTCACCCGGACATCCTCCAGATGCTGCTGCGCGACGACATCATCGGCGCGGCGCGGGTGCGCGAGGACCCCAGCGCGGCCAAGTCGGGCCGGCTCGAGGTGCTGGGCAAGGCGCAGGCGCCGACCAAGGGCGACCTGGTCATCCCGGGCACCGAGAGCGCGGCGAGGAAGGCCAAGCAGGCGGGAGGCGCGGCCCGCGCGCCGACGGGACCGCCCGCCGAGTCTTCGCAGGCGGCGCGGCGGGAGGACGAGGCGGACCTGTTTTCGGCCATCATCGGCGTCGACGAGGCCGACGAGCTCGACGAGGACGACACCGTGCACAGCTTCGAGATCGCCGAAGAGTACATTGAGCAGGTCAAGAAGCGGTGCAACGACATCGGCTACCCGATGCTCGAGGAGTACGACTTCCGCAACGACCAGCTCAACGCCGACCTCGAGATCGACCTCAAGCCCATCACGCACATCCGCCCCTACCAGGAAAAGAGCCTGGCCAAGATGTTTGGCAACGGCCGAGCGCGGAGCGGCATCATTGTGCTGCCGTGCGGCGCGGGCAAGACGCTGGTGGGCATCACGGCGGCGTGCACCATCAAAAAGAGCTGCCTGGTGCTGTGCACCAGCAGCGTCAGCGTGATGCAGTGGCGCCAGCAGTTCCTGCAGTGGAGCAACATCCAGGACAGCCAGATCAGCGTCTTTACGGCCGACCAAAAGGAAAAGTTCTCGGGCGCCGCGGGCATCGTCGTCTCGACCTACTCCATGGTGGCCAATACGGGCAAGCGCGCGCACATGTCGCAAAAGATGATGAACTTCCTCGAGAGCCGCGAGTGGGGCTTCATCCTGCTCGACGAGGTCCACGTCGTGCCGGCCAGCATGTTCCGCCGCGTCCTGACCAAGATCAAGGCGCACTCGAAGCTCGGCCTGACGGCGACGCTGGTGCGCGAGGACGAAAAGATCGACGAGCTCAACTTCCTCGTCGGCCCCAAGCTCTACGAGGCCAACTGGATGGACCTCGCCGCCAAGGGCCACATCGCCACGGTCCAGTGCGCCGAGGTGTGGTGCCCCATGACGCCCGAGTTCTACCGCGAGTACCTGCGCGAAAAGAGCCGCAAAAAGATGCTCCTCTACTGCATGAACCCGCAAAAGTTCCAGGCCTGCCAGTTCCTCATCGACTACCACGAGAATCGCGGCGACAAGATCATCGTCTTTTCCGACAACGTCTACGCCCTCGAGGCGTACGCCTTCAAGCTCAAGAAGCCCTTCATCCACGGCGGCACCGCCCACGTCGAGCGCATGCGCATCCTGCAGAACTTCCAGCACAACCCGCTCGTCAACACCATCTTCCTCTCCAAGGTCGGCGACACGTCCATCGACCTGCCCGAGGCCACCTGCCTGATCCAGGTGTCGTCGCACTTTGGCTCGCGCCGCCAGGAGGCGCAGCGCCTCGGCCGCATCCTCCGGGCCAAGCGCAGGAACGACGAGGGATTCAACGCCTTCTTCTACAGCCTCGTCAGCAAGGACACGTCCGAGATGTTCTACTCGACCAAGCGCCAGCAGTTCCTCATCGACCAGGGCTACGCCTTCCGCGTCATCACCCACCTCGTCGGCATGGAGGACATGCCCGGCCTCGTCTACAGGACCCAGGAGGAGCAGATCGAGCTGCTGCAGAGCGTCCTCATCGCCAACGAGAGCGCCGCCGACCTCGGCTCCGACCTCCGCGGCGGCGAGTGGGCCGATGACCTCAGCGCCAGCGCCGCGTCCGCCTCGTCGCGCGGCCGCAACGCCGCCGCCGGACCCTCGAACCTGGCCGGCGGCGTCGCCAAGGCCCAGCGCACCACGGGCAGCCTCAACGCCCTCAGCGGCGCACAGCACATGTCCTACATCGAGCGCAACCGCTCCGTCAACAAGACGCTCAACAAGGACCAGGGCAGGCACAAGCTCTTCCAGAAGAGGGCGGCCAGCGCCAAAAAGAGGGGCCAGGACGACTAGGCCCGGTTCCCCCTCGCCGCCGTCCCTACACTGTTTCGTTGCAACCCCCACCCTGAACCGCTTCGACGACACACCCGACATTGAATGGCCAACCGCACAACAGCCCCACAAGGTTCGCACGCAGGGGGCGCCGACGCGCACATCGAGCATCCAGCCCGCCGTCAACGCCCTCCCATTGACACTCGAGGCAACCAGCGTGGACTCCTGACATCGCACCGCGCCACAGCCGCAAGAGCCGCAGTGGGATCGTCTCATCTTGACCTTCACCCTGCGTGCACCTCTGGCTCGCTCGAGGGTCGCCCCCTGGGCCCAAAGGCTATAAGAACCGCCCTCCTCGGGCTTCCCATCGATTCGAAACTCGCATCCATCATCGTCCCCTCTCGCATCCCCGGTCACCACACTGTATAGCTACCCGTCTCAACCATGAAGCAGACCCTCACCTTGTTCTCCATTGCCGTCACCCTGCTGGCAGGACGCTGCGCGGGCGGAGCGGCCACGTCGGCTGGAACCTCGAACGTGCCCGGCGCTGGCCAGGTGGTGGTCAAGCAGGTGAATGGCGCGCCCAACATCTGCTTCTACGCCGCCAAGGACAGCTACCAGGCCACCTGGTTCATTGCCAACAAAAAGGGCGGCTCGAGCATCTCCAACGTGCCCTACTACTTTGGCGACAGCTGCACCGACGCCACCTCGACGCCCGCCATGCACCAGGCCTACACCGACTTCCTCGACCCCAAGCTCGCGGCTGGAAAGTACTACGTCGATGGTGAGTGGCCGTCCGTGGCCAGGCTGCCCGTTCGCCGCACGCACAGACGCCGTCGCTGACCGGTCAGTCTTGCGTGGATCGACGGCGGCGCAGTCAACGACCACTACTATCCCATCCCGGCCTTTTCGTTTGGCGGCGGCGGCGGCAAGTGAGGCCCCGGTCGGTGTCCCTCGGCGAACGGGCGCCGCGCCCTTCGCTGTCCGCCACTCCGCGTCGCCTCCCGTCTCTTTCCCAGCCCATCCCCCATTGATCCCTCCTCTCCTTCCCCCTCCCCTCCACGGTCCGATTGTCCGATCACATTGGCTCGATCCGTTTGAATGAGAGACATGACCGTGATTGTGGGGACGACGGGGTGCGACTGAATGAAAAGGCCGACGAGGCAGAGCTACCCGGTTGAAGAGCCGGCCAGTCATCGCTCCGGCGACCCACTTCGGCGACGGCCCTCCTCACAGCCATCCTCGGCAGCCGTTCCATGTCCAAGTGAGGTGGGGCCATCCTGCCGGGACGAGGCGTCCGGGCCGAGATGAGCAGGTGGGGGTTGGCTTTCGATGCTCGACGAGGACGCTGGCAGGTTCCCAGCTTATATAGGAAGACAACGGCGCGGAAGCTGACCCCCCATTTGGCATCCTTCGCAACCCACTCACACACACCCACGCACCTGTCCCTGCAAGCAATCAGACCGCGATGAAGTTCCTGTCCCCTCTCCTCGTCTCTGGCCTACTCGCCTCCTCGGCCGTGTCCGTCCTGGCCCAATCGCCCGGTACGAAGGTGGTGAAGAACATTCACTTCGACAACTACGGTACTTTCTCCATCCAGAGGGACGGACTCAAGCACCTCTTCATGTTCGATGCCGACGATGGCACCGTCGCCCACTCGTGGACGCTGGCCGAGCGCAAGGGCACCTCGTGGCAGTATGTGATCGGCGTGATGAGCACAGGCTTCGGGGCCTATGCCAACAATGACGTCCACCGGCTTGGCGTCTGGGACGAGCTCAACTCGCCCCACCTGGACTTGACCAGGTACGAGATCGTCTACAGTACGTGGATCATTCCGGCGAGCCTGCGATACAAGGACTCTGCTCAACCGATCTGCTCACCGTCTCCCCTGAATGTTTGGCGCTCACGGCTTTTCAGTGAACTATGGCAAGGACACGCCGCTCCCCATCAACAGGCCGTTGCAAGTGCCCCACAACTGAGGCGCAAAGGACTGTTCCATGCATACCAGGCGAGGTGGGGGGGAGTCAGCTTACCGGCGAAGGTCGCTCGGCCTGGGACGCGCAGGTGGGGTGGCTCTACGGGCTCGACGAGGACGCAGGCGGGTTCCCACCACCGTGTATACAACATGTCTCGATGGGGCCCACCGAAATGGGAGCTACTCCCATTCCACCCATTCCTCCCCCGTTCCCCTCCCTCCGAGTACATATCGCATTCAGCCACCATGAAGTTCTTCGCCCCCGCCCTCGTCTCGGCCCTGTTTGCATCCTTGGCCTCGCCTGTTCTGGCCGAGGCGCAGGAGCCAAAGCTGGTCGAGCGCGCTCAGGAGCAGATGATCAAGACGGCCAACTGGCACGCCTTCGGTACCTTTTCGTTGAACGTCGACGCAGTCTACGGCATTCGCCTCTTTCATTTGACGGCCAACGAGAACGACATGAACCACATCTGGCAGCTCGTCGAGCGGGACGGCAACGACTGGAAGCCCGTCACGGGAGAGATGGCCTCGGGCTACAGCTACACGACCGCCTACGACAGCCACGAGCTCCAAGTGTGGAACGAGCTCAACTCGCCCCTCCTCGACCTCCAAAAGTACTGCATTTTGTTCAGTACGTCGTCAGTCACCCAGCATCGGGCATACCCCACGAGCACAGGCTGACTGTCTATCCCCTCTGTCTTCTGCTCTGGCGCTGCAGCGTACCATAGCGCAACTACCCCTCTCGCCATCGACCACGTGCTGCAACGCCCGGTCAGCTGAGCCAGGCGTCAAGATCAGCGCCGGTGTGCGGTCGTCTCCGTGCCGCCGGATACGCGCGAAAGGGTTGGATTGGAAGCTTCGCTGATGCAGAAGGAGGGGACGGGGGCAGGGTATAGCGAGGATACGAGGACGGCCGGGCCCGTAGCGGAGTGGATACGAGGGGCGGGTACGAGGGAACCAGTAGACTACAGAGTGCGCGAGGAGCGCGAGGGAGGGGGACAGACGGTCTAGTCGGGTGGATAGGTGCGACGATGCGGTCTTGACAGCGGGACATACGCGCGGCGACTAGCAGATGACGCAGCCGCCTCCGGATTCCTTTGCGCCTCTTGCTCTTGCCCCGGCGGCCACCTTTGCAGCCTCGACAAAGGCCTCGCTGACGCCGCGGTTGAACTTGGCACTGCACTCGAGATAGCGCGTCGCCTTTATCCTCCTCGCGGTCTGTTCGATGGGACGTGAGTGGGCAGAGACGGGATCAATCGACGCGGTTCCGCCAGTCAGACAAAGGCGTCCACTGCTACGACGACGACGCGACGACCGCAACGCACCTGGAGGCCGACCTCGTACGTGATGGGCACGTCGCCCGTCTTTGAGAGCTTTTCGAGGACGCGGTCGTCTTGCCGCAGGTCGCACTTGAGCGAGACGAGGACGATGCGGACGCCGGGACAGTGGTCGTGGATCTCTGGTACCCACTGCACGGTCGGAGTGTAAGGAGTGGCACGGCTCGTGTGTCAGCGTGTCTCGCGGACTCAGAAGCCTGGTCCAAAGAGCAGCGCAGCTCGACGACTTACTCGCGAAACGACGTTTTCTAAGCTGACCGGATTGTCCGCCTGCGGCAAGGACGAGCAGGGGTCACGCAGGGGCCGTGCAGCCAGGTCAGTCTCTGCCGTCACCCAGCACGCAGCTCCGGACCGCCATCTGGACTCACGGAAAAGCAGAGCATGACTACATGCGTATCGGCGTAGCTGAGGCTCCTCAGCTTGTCAAACTCCTCCTGGCCCGCCGTGTCCCACAGCGAGAGCTCCATGGGCCCGACGCCGTCGACGTCTAGCGTCTCGACGTAGTTTTCAAACACGGTCGGTTCACTGCGGGGCGTGAGTGCGTGACGAGGCGGTGAGGAGAGGTCGGCGAGTGTCAGTGGCGATATCAGGACGAAGGGGAGGAGGGCGAGGCAGATGCGAGGGACTCACTAGGCTTGTGGAAAGTATCCGCGGGTAAAGACGTTGAGCAGCGACGTCTTTCCGCACGCTCCGTCGCCGAGCACGAGGATCTTGCGCGAAAGGCGGCCGCGTGATGTGGTGCCGTCCGACCCGCCGGCTAGACCGCAGAACGACATGGATGGTGTTCGTGCCTTTCCCTCGTCGTCGTCGTCGTCTTTGATGGGGGGAGGGTGGGGCTGCTTGGTGCCAATAGAGATCGCAGAATGGAGGAGATGGTGGTGGTGAAGGTGGGTCGCGGAGTGGACGTCGAGTGGCGTAGGGTGGCGTTGGGATGATGGTAGTGCAGTACGTGGCAGGGAATCGAGAAAGGCCGAAGGGAGGTCAGAGGGAGTGAGGGCCAGCGAGAGAGGCGGTGCAAAGGCGAGAGGACGAGGACGAGGGCGGCCTGGCCTGCAGGGTGGAGTTTTATTTCAGCCGTGTTGCATGCGCGCTGCGGGGCGGGGGCAGCGGGACGGGCAGGCAGGCAGGCAGGCAGGCAAACAGATAGAGGGGCCGTCGGTGTTGGTCTCGCTCGCCCTCGCCTGCTTTCCTGACCTGACCCGCTCATCGAGTCGCGCGTGGATGTTGAATTCAGCTCAGCCCCCGGCTCAAACGACGGCGCAGCTGAAACGCGCCCACACAAACGACGTCGACGCCCCCCATCCTCCATCCTCCATCCTCCATCCTCGCCCGTCTCGCCAGTCACCGACCACCCTCTTTTTCGCTCGCCGCAGGCTTGCTGTTGGTACACTTGCATTCGTCTCTCTCTTTCGCCTCTATACACGTGTTGTCTACGCGGATAAAACATGGTGTGCCTGGTCCGGTCCGACGACGGGGCGCGCGGACGCCACCTCACCTCTTGGACAGGTCAATCAGAGGCTGCCCCTCGGTGCGCAGCCTGCGCTGCCGCTCAATGGCCTCTTCCCTCCGCCTCGCCTCCTGGGCGGCAAACGTGTTGACGGGCACCGACCGCATCGCCTCGCTCGCATTCTTGATGGCAATGTCGGCGAGCAGGCTGCCCTTTTCAAACGGCCCGCTGAAAGCCTCGCGGCTAATCAGCGGCGGGACCTCGGGTTGGATCAGGGGCGGCGGCGCATCCGAGGGCACACCTGGCACCGCCGGGGTGGGGCCCGCAGACGGTCCCGCACCGTTGCCTCGACCGCCGGGACGTCGCGCCGTGTTGCGCCGCGACAGGCCGCCGTTGCTCGCCGCCGACCGCGTGGGGCCCATGGCGACCGAGTCGAGGCCAACGACGCCGCCGCTGGGGCCCTCGAGGGC